CTGTGGCTTTGTAGTAGAGCTTGAAGTCAGGGAGCATAATCCCCCCTGCTTTATTCTTCCTTCTCAAGATAGCTTTGGCTATTTGGGGTCTTTTGTCATTCCATATGAATTTTAGAACTATTTGCTCTAGTTCACAGAAAAATGCTGTAGGTATTTTGATAGGGATTGCAATGCATCTGTAGGTTGCTTTAGGCAGGATGGCCATTTTGATAATATTAATTCTTTCTAGACAAGAGCATGGGATGAATTTTCATTTATTAGTGTCCTCTTTAATTTTTCTTAGGAGTGTCACGTAGTTTTCAGGGTATAAGTCTTTCACTTCCTTGGTTAGGTTTATTCCTAGGTATTTTATTATTTTTGATGCAATTGTGAATGGAATTGTTTTCCTGATTTGTCTTTCTGCTAGTTCATCGTTAGTGTACAGGAATACAATGGATTTCTGCATATTAATTTTGCATCTCGCAACTTTGCTGAATTCAGATATTAGATCTAGTAGTTTTAGAGTGGATTCTGTAGGGTTTTTTATGTACAATACCATGTCATCTGCAAACAGGGCCAGTTTGACTTTTTCTTTGTCAATCTGGATGCCTTTTATTTCTTTGTGTTGTCTGATAGCCATGACTAAGACCTCCAGAAGTATGTTGAATAGAAGTTGGGAGAGTGGGCATCCTTGTCTTGTTTCCAATCTTAAAGGAAAAGCTTTCAGCTTTTCGCTGTTAAGTATAATGTTTGCAGTGGGTTTGTCATATATGGCCTTTATTATGTTGAGGTACTTGCCCTCTATACCCATTTTGTTGAGAGTTTTTATCATGTATGGATGTTGAATTTTGTCAAATGCTTTTTCAGCATCTATGGAGATGATCATGTGGTTTTTGTCCTTTTCTTTGTTGTAGTGGATGATGCTGATGGATTTTTGAATGCTGTACCATCCTTGCACCCCTGGAATGAATCCCACCTGATCATGATGGAAGATCTTTTTGATGTATTTTTTAATTCAGTTTGCTAATATTTTGTTGAGTTCAGCAGGGATATTGGTCTGTAATTTTCTTTTTTATGGTGTCTTTGCCTGGTTTTGGCATTAGAGTGATGTTGGCCTCGTAGAATGAGTTTGGGAGTATTCCCTCTTTTTCTACTTTTTGGAAAACTTTAAGAAGGTGGGTATTAGGTCTTCACTAAATGTTTGATAAAATTCAGCAGTGAAGCCATCTGGTAGAGGAGTTTTGTTCTTAGGTAGTTTTTGATTATCAGTTTAATTTCTTTGCTCACAATTGGTTTATTCAGATTTTCTGTTTCTTTCTGGGGCAGCCTTAGAAGGTTGTATTTTTCTAGAAAATTGTCAGTTTCTTCTAAGTTTTTCAGTTTGTTACCATATAATTTTTCATAGTATTCTCTAATAATTCTTTGTATTTCTGTGGGGTCCATCATGATTTTTCCTTTCTCATTTCTGATTCTGTTTATGTGTGTAGACTCTGTCTTTTTCTTGATACGTCTAGCTAGGGGTTTATCTATTTTGTTTATTTTCTTGAAGAACCAGCTCCTGCTTTCATTGATTCTTTCTACTGTTTTATTCTTCTCAATTTTATTTATTTCTGCTTCAATCTTTATTATATCCCTCCTTCTACTCACTTTGGGCCTCATTTGTTCTTCCTTTTCTAGTTTCATTAATTGTAAGTTTAGACTGTTCATTTGGGAGTGTTCTTCTTTCCCGAGGTAGGCCTGTATTGCAATGTATTTCCCTCTTAGCATGGCCTTTGCTGTGTCCCACAGATTTTTGTGTTAATTATTATTGTCATTTGTCTCCATATATTGATTGGTCTCTGTTTTTATTTGGTCATTGATCCATTGACTATTTACGAGCATGTTATTAAGCTGCCATGTGTTTGTGGACTTTTTTGTTTTCTTTGTGTAATTAATTTCTAGTTTCATACCTTTGTGATCTGAGAAGCTGGTTGGTACAATTTCTATTTTTTTGAGTTTACTGATGTTCCTTTTGTGGCCTAGTATATGATCTATTCTTGAAAATGTTCCATGTGCACTTGAGAAGAATGTATATCTTGTTGCTTTCGGATAGATTGTTCTGTAGATGTCTATTAGGTCCATCTGTTCTAATACGTTGTTTAGTGCCTCTGTCTCTTTACTTATTTTCTGTCTGGTTGATCTGTCTTTTGGAGTGAGTGGTGTGTTGAAGTCTCCTAAAACGAATGCATTGCATTATATTTCCCCCTGTAATTCCATGAGTATTTGTTTCACATATGTAGGGGATCCTTTATTCGGTGCACAGATATTTATAATAGTTGTATCCTCTTGTTGGACTGACCCCTTTATCATTATGTAATGTCCTTCTTTGTCTCTTGTGACTGTCTTTGTTTTGAAGTCTATTTTGTCTGATACAAGTACTACAACTCCTGCTTTTTTCTCCCTGTAAGTTGCATGAAAAATCTTTTTCTATCCCTTTACTTTCAGTCTGTGTATGTTTTGGGTTTGAAGTGAGTCTCTTATAGGCAACATATGGATGGGTCTTGTTTTTTTATCCATTCAGTGACTCTATATCTTTTGATTGGTGCATTCAGACCATCTACATTTAGGTTGATTATCGATAGGTATATACTTATTCCCACTGCAGGCTTTAGATTCACAGCAACCAAAGGTTCAAAGGCAATTCCCTTACTATCTAACAGTCTAATTTAACTCCCTTTGTGTGCTATTACAAACACAACCTAAGGGTTCTTTTTTCTTTTTTTTTTCCTCCTTCTTCTTCCACCTCCATTCTTTTTTGTTATGAATCATATTCTGTACTCTTTGTCTATCCCTTGCGTGACATTCATTTAGCCTTAGGAACACTTCCATCTATAGGAGTCCCTCCAAAATGCACTATAGACGTGGTTTGTGGGAGGTAAATTCTCTCAACATTTTCTTATCTGAAAATTGTTTCATCCCTCCTTCAAATTTAAATCATAACCTTGCCAGGCATAGTATTTTTGGTTCAAGCTCCTTCTGCTTCATTGCATTAAATATATCATGCCACTCCCTTCTGGACTGCAAGGTTTCTGTTGAGAAGTCTGATGAAAGCTTGATGGGTTTTTCTTTATATGTGATATTTTTTATCTTTCTTGCTGCTTTTAATAGTTTGTCCTTATCCTCGATCTGTGCCATTTTAACTATTAAATGTCTTGATGTTTTCTTCCTTGGGTCCCTTGTATTGGGAGATCTGTGCACCTCCATGGCTTGAGAGACTATCTCCTTCTCCAGATTGAGGAAGTTTTCAGCAATTACCTCCTCAATGACACTTTCTATCCCTTTTTCTCTGTCTTCTTCTTTTTCTGGTAGCCCTATAATACTAATATTGTTCCATTTGTGTTGATCACACAGTTCTCTCAATATTCTTTCATTCTTAGAGATACTTTTTTCTCTCTGTTCCTCAGGTTTTTTGTATTCCTCTTCTCTAATTTCTATTCCATTTACCATCTCTTCTACTACATCTAATCTGCTTTTAAATCCCTCCATTGTATGTTCCATTTCAGATATGGAATTCATTAATGATTGAATCTCCAATTTAAATTTGTTCCTGAGTCCTTGAATATTTTTCTGTCCCTCCATAAACATGTTTTTGATTTTTATTTTGAACTCTATTTCAAGCAGATTGGTGAGTTCAGTTTCATTTGACCCTTATTCTGGGGTTTGTGAGATTTCAGTTTGAACCATGTTCTTCTGACATTTCATATTTCTGTGTGGTGCCCACTAGTGCCCAGAAGCTCCAGTCTCTGGGGGCTGCGCAGCCCCTAGAGTGAGGTTCGGGGTCATAGGGGAGTAGAGCTGGTGCCTGGGGGGAGGAAAGATCTGTTTCCTGATTCCCGTCTGCGGTGTCTGTCTCTGTTGTCAGAGCCAGTGGGCCGAGCACACAGGTGTAAACCTCTGTGCTTTGCATCTCTAGCTGTTGTAGGCGGAGCCTCCCTCTAGCTGGCCTGATCCCAGCACAGTGACTACAGGTTTGAGAACCAGTGCCGATAGGCTAGGAGGAAGGCACAGCAGGCTGCATTTTACAGTGGGGGGACTTGGAGCTGAGTAGGTAGCCAGGGGGTTGGGGCGCCTGAAGCTCCCCAAAGTTCCCAACCGGCTGGGCCAAGCAGGCCCAGACAACCTTGTCCTCCCCTATGCAGCAAGCTCTGTGCAAACCCTGCCCCTTCAGCAACCCTCTGCTGCTAGGGAGCCTCTCAGACTGCCTGCCTTTCCCTTGTCCCAGAGTGGCCAGGTGTGGATCCTCTCCTCCACAAATGGCCAGAAACTCAGTCTCTCAAGCACTCCAGCTGCCTGAACTCCCCAATGTCCAGAGCACCACACAGTGTAGGTTTCTGCTCCCAAAGCAGATCTCTAGGGCTAGGTGTTCAGCAGTCCCAGGCTTCCACCCCCTCCCCTGCTCTGTTTCTCTTCCTCCCGTTGGTGAGCTGGGGTTGGGGAAGGACCTGGGTCCCGCCAGATTAAGGCTTTCCTATGTTACCCTGTTTCATGAGGTCTGCTCTGTTTGTGAGGTCTGTATGCATTCTGGTTCAGCCGTCTTTCCTGTTGCTTTTTTAGGGTTAATTGTATTAAGTATATTTTTGTACTATTTGTGGTTTTGGGAGGAGTTCTCCGTCTCACCTCTCATGCCGCCATCTTGAATCCTTGCAATGTATCCTTCAATAACCCGTTTTGACTGATACAATCCCCTGTGATCTTTCCTCCTCTTTCAAATTTTATTATGTGAATTAAAAAATATTAACAAAAACTTTAACTGGTATTTACCTTTGACTGGTACATTTGTTCACCTAAGCTATCACAAACTTTAAGGAAAAGGAGAAATGATTCTGTGCTTAGGACATATCTTATGGTTTTAGGTGTTCAATTAAGGCTTGTTAATGACAGTTAAAAAGTCCAGTATGAAAACAGACTTTAATGAAGTATCAAAAACATAAGAATAGAAATTAAAAGTAAAAAAAAAAATTCTGAACAAGAAAGTCACTTACTTTTACCAATATATCTTTTACAACTTGATTGCTATCATTATGAACGCTGATATAACTGGAAAAGGTCTCTCCCAGAAATATATTCCTGAAATTAAATAAAATAATCTTTTAAGCAGAAATCCATTCAAGTTTTGTCAGAAATATTCTATTTGAGTATCACTGAGAACTTCAGATGGAAAAGAATTTACTAAAGGATAGAGATCAGGTGAAACACTGCTTCAACATTCTTTTGTTTACACTAGGCTTACAAAGTACGATTCATAATACTGACAATCTATAAAACATGATAGATACTTTGGCCCTCAACTACTGTACAAACTTCCAGGCTCCCTAGAGTAAGTCATTAAATCAGATCTATGTTCAGAGTCTTAAGATTTCTTACTGAAAATGCTAGAAACAAGTAATTTTTGAAATAACTTATGTCCTGAATCTAGAGGAAATCCAAGTTACTGATCACAAACTATTTTTTACCAATGTATTTTATTTAAGTTATTCTAATAAAAATAATGACTCGTGGCTTTACCTTCTATTTTTATAAGATAATTTATAAAAATAGGTATTTATAAATATATATTATACAAAAACATGTAAAATATATTTACCTATATAAATATATACTTATATACATGTATTTTTATATGAATATACTTGCAAATTTCCAAGACACTAGTGAATGACACATTCCATAAACCTTTTAAAAAAAAAGTGAAAAATTCCTTTTGGCTTCAAATTCTCTCAGTTGTAAACAGAATGGATCCAAAGGCTTCTACCTCATTAATAATCTAGAATAAGAGAGTAACGAAGAGTAAGAGAAGGAATAAAAGTTTAGAGTTCTTAATTGGCTGACAAATCTGACAAATCACGTTGGGAGAAGGCTCTGAAGTTGAATAGAAGAGCTGCTTCTGAAAGGCATTCAGATTAAATCAATTAAAAGGAATACAAAGGCATTAAAAAATATAGTAAGACCTAATAAGAATGGTGAAATTTTACCACCCTAGGAACCACTATTAATATTTTGGTATGCATCTTATTTTTTTAATTAAGAGAAAAACAGACTCACATAGTGTAATTTCAGTGAAACTTCTTTTTAACCACATAACTGTATCATGAGCATTTTTCCATCCCATAGTTATTTTCTGAAAACATAGTTTGTAACAGCTTTAAAGTATTCTTGAATTTCCTATGTGAGTATATCATTCTTACCCAAAATTCTGTGGTAAAGTCAACATTTCGCCCAACATTAAAATTTCAGCACCATTTACAGTTGAAGGATCATCTCTCATAAGCTGGTTAAAGAGATCTCCTGTAGAAAGAGAGTAACATAAAATTCTAACATCTGCCTTGTAAGTAAGTTTTACTTACATAGAAATAGCTGGGAGAGAGATTTTAAAAAAATAACCTCTTGATAATATTATCTTTAAAAAATCTAGTTTCTAATCTTCCATACAACAAATGCTTGCCAAAAAAAACTGTGGTTTCACAGAGAATGAACACTTCAGAAATAAATGAGAATGTGGGTCATGAGATATAAAATATAGAATGCTCTCATAATATTAAATAAAGGGACTGCTAATACATATACTGATGGAAGAGTTGAAATAAATGAAATTTTAATAGTATCATGACTATGGATGCATCCTAACTAAAATTAAAATAAAAATCTCTTGTTGCCATAGGATATCAATAGCATCTTGACTTGCAGATTATGAATGAGACCTGTTACTAGAAGGTCACCACTCATATTCTACAAAAACAGGCAACAAAGAATGCAGCAGTTAACAAAATAGTGACAAGGCTAGGCTTATTGCAAGGTACTATAGGCAATCCAGGTTTCAACTTTTCCCTAGGTAAGGAGAATAAAGCATGTGCCATACCAGGTAAGTCTTTCTCTTCACATGTTACTGGAATATTGGTGAATAAAGTAGGCTTAGTCAACCGCATCACTGTGAATTGAGTAAAAAAAAAAAAATGCATACATGTATTATTAATATTGTTTTGGTCTATATTCCTAAGTCGAGTGTATGATATTCATTAATTTTATATTAATGTAAAATATAACTTAAATACTTCCTAAACCAAATATAATATTAAGTATTTCCTAAGATTATTACACAGCATAGTTTACTACAAATGTTTAAATAAAAAAGTTTTCATATATGAAAAAAGGAGAATTTTGCTTTTATTTACAATCTAATGAGTTATAAAAATTAAATGCAAATGTAATATGTAATACAGAATGTAAAATGTGAAATATAATATAGAAAAACTGAAAAACAGAGCAATTTTAAAGTTTAAGTATACTAAGAGAACAAGGCTTTACAAAAAATCCTGAATGACATCACTGTAAACAAAATATTAATCAATATTAGCCTGACAGAGAATAAAGCTTATATGCTCCAATTTCATTTCACTACTTTGAAATATGATTTTCATGAACTGTGGCCATTAAACAAGGTTATATTAAATAGATAGCCACTGAACTAGCCAACAAATGCTAAGCTCAAAATTTCTGAGGCCACTTGTATAGCTATTTACCGAACATTTACTAGTACTAGACATTAGGCTAAATACAAGTATTTATAAATTTAATTCTCATGACTACAAGGTTGGTACCATTATCTCCCATTTACAGATAAGGAGGATGCCTGGAGATGGGGGAGATGTTTCAACCTTCTATTTCATTCTTATTTTTACTTTGAAAACATTAAAGTACAACCTGAAGGGGATAAACAGGTGCTCTGGAAAGGATCTATAGCAGAGTTTTTCTCACAATCAGTATCTGAGGCACTAAGCTCACTGTTAACACCAATTGTGTTCTTTATTTTTTCCCCATTTTTATTTGCATTTCAGAAGAAACCAAATCTTAACAAAGAGGAAATACACTCTCAAGGAAATCCTGAAACACTCTTTTTAAAAGTGTCCTAGAGTCATCCCAAAGTGTAACTAACTTATTTTCTTATTATATGCTCAGACTTGCATTATGTAAAAAAGTCCTATATAGCTTAGTTTTTGCTGATTCTGTGGCTTTGTAGGGGACAAGAAAGTGGGGTGGACAAAGCACAAAATTCCTATTAACAACAAAAAGATTCCAAACTAGTATTAAAATTATGTTTCTTCATATTTTCAAAAGAGGGTGTTAAAGACACAGGCCCAACATGGTGTCACTTCTGGTAGGCCAAGTCACCAAACTGGAACTTAATACTTAATCTAATTGCAGTTTCAAACCCCACCCCCCATAAAGGTAGTCACTCAGGAATTTTCTAATTAGCATAGATAAGATGATACCACATGTGCCCTCTCCATCCCCAAAGGAAGATGCGGTAATCCCCCTAAGACCCTTACCCTTGCTTTCTTTCAAAGCATAGATGGCATCTGAATGTGCATAACAGGATCTTTTAGGACATTAACTAGATATATACATGCCACACTGCTTGATGTGCTTACTGATAAATGTAACCTCTTTCCTGTACTTATTCCCTGCTTTAGAAGTAGTACCTAACAGGTCTCTAACTGAGGGTGCTTTGAAACCCAAACTCGTGCGTTATTTCGCTGGCCATAATCCTTAGTAACACTACAAATGAACTCTATCTTAAATATAACTGTTGTATTGATTTCAGGGGAAAAGGGTAAAAATCAGCAATGAGGGTAGCAGTTGGTATCTTGTAGTTTCAAAAAAAAATCACTATAAAGCAGAATTTGTTACACTGCAGATTCTTAAACAGAAACAGAGAAAGCTGAGTTAATAACATATAATTATCTCATTCTTTGAAGAATGATCCAAAGTATGCCCACATCAAATACAGATTTAAATTCATTTTCTTATAATGAATGAATGTCAAAAATTAAACGTCATGTTAGCTGGAAAAGAGCAAATACCAACAAAAGCAAGGTTTAAAAAAAACTGTCAGAGTAATTATAGGAAAGCACTGGTTATTAAACAGTAATTTTTGTATCCAGCCTCAAATGCTAAAGCAAGTTCTTGATCAAAAATTAAAGAGGCAAAAAAAGTATGTGATTTTAGTTGAGTGCCAAATATTTATTACACACATTGCATAGGTAGTGCCGTGTGTAGAGATACTCTCAGTGGAACTCACAAACCACAGATTACATTTACTCAGGAAATTCGGTTTCATTTAAAATCTTACCAAAAAAAACTTTTGTATGAAAGTCTCAGTAAATTAAAAAGATAGGCTGAGGTTATAAACTAACGAACTGGGTCAAATTAAATTTATATATACATTTTGCTTAGCCAGACTATTAAAAATACTAAAACTTTAAAAATTATGGGCCTGCATCAGGTGAGAAATTGGGGATCAACAGAGGTGAGGCTCAGAACCTCACCCCCCCGTTTTGAGAGAAATCTTCTGCATCCGAGGATGTTTTTTTGACCTTGTCTAGCTTGGATTTATACTTAGTCCATAGGCACACACCTGATCATGTACATTTGCCCTCTTACAGCACTAAACTATGTTTTCTACCTTTATCTTGCATCTACCTACCACTTCAGCATTTTATTAAAAATAAAAATAATAATAATAATAAAGGGAGAAATGTGGGATCCACATATAAATCAAGTATAAAAATCAAACGAATATTCATATTTGACCTGTTTGTTTATAGTTCATAATGCGTGATCAAAACCGAAAGTTTCTGTGATGAATGCCCTTGTACTGTTCACCATGTAAGAATTTATTCACTATGTAAGAATTCGTTCACCATGTAAGAACTTGTTCGTTATGCTTCAGAAGATTGGAGACTGACGAGAATTAGGCTTGAGATGGATTAATGATTGTACATTGAGCATTGACCCCCCTTACAGAATTTTATTGTTGTTAACAACCATTTGATCAATAAATATGAGAGATGCCATCTCAAAAAAAAAAAAAAAAAGCAAGTAGATAAAGACTTACTAAATACCAGCATGAAAAAAAAAAAATTACGGGCCTGTTTGCATCGACTGACCAGAGTCCGCGAATTCTCTGCTCCGAGCCTGTCCGGACTGCCCCGATTCCAGCTTTCTATCCTTTGGAAACACTAATAATGACACCGCATCAGTTTTTATTCGAGCCAATCACCTGTCACGCCTGGAACAGGGATCGGTACCCAAATGGCCCTTAGCCCCAATAATCATGAAGTCCATGTCTATAAGAACGGGAGCCAGTGGGTGAAAGCTCATGAACTCAAGGAGCACAATGGACACATCACAGGTATCAACGGGGCTCCCAAGAGCTACTGCATCGTCACTTGTGGCGCAGACTGCAATGCCTATGTCTGGAGTCAGAAAGATGGTGTGTGGAAGCCAACCCTGTTGATCCTGAGAATTAACCGTGCAGCTACTTTTGTAAAGTGGTCCCCACTAGAGAACAAATTTGCAGTGGGAAGTGGAGCACAACTCATTTCTGTTTGTTACTTTGAGTCTGAAAATGATTGGTGGATAAGTAAGCACATTAAAAGGCCAATTCGCTCCACCGTGCTCAGCTTGGACTGGCACCCCAACAACGTCTTGCTGGCGGCAGAATCATGCAATTTCAAATGCAGAGTGTTTTCTGCCTATATTAAAGCAGATGAAAGGCCAGCCAGTATGTCCTGGGGCAGCAATATGCCTTTTGGTCAGCTGATGTCAGAGGTTGGTGGCAGTGGCACTGGTGGCTGGGTACACGGGATTGGCTTCTCTGCCAGTGGGAGCCGCCAGGCCTGAGTCAGCCACACAGCACCGTGTCCATTGCCAATGCCTGCAAAAGCATGCAGGTCTCAGCTCTGAAAACTGAGTTTCTGCCCCTCCTGAGTGTGCTGTCTCCGGAAATAGTTGTAGCTGCCGGCCATGACTGCTACCCAGTGCTCTTTAACTACTATGACCGTGGCTGCTTGACCTTCGTCTCCAAGCTACACATTCCAAAACAAAGCATCCAGTCCAACATGTCTGCCATGGAACACTTCCACAACATGGACAAGAGGGCCACGACCGAGGACAGCAAAACGGCCTTGGAGACGCTGCACCAGAACAGCATCACTCAAGTGTCTATCTATCTATGAAGTGGACAAGCAAGATTGTCGCAAATTTTGCACTTACTGGCATTGATGCAGCCATGACTATTTGGGATTTCAAGACCTTAGTCTTCTATCCATGGCCTTCGTGATAATGTGAAGCTGAGTGAGCCTCCCAAATCAAGCCTGACAAACTGACAAACTGCACCTATGCCAGCCCGGCCACTTGCACGTAGGTGCAGAGAGCCAGCTGCTAGAAAACACTGAAGACATGTATTACAACTATTGCGTGTGTGTTTTTGTTTTAATATAATTGGTGAAAGTGTTGGTTTTTTTAAAGTAGAAGTGACGTGGGTTGTTTTCTGTTTTGTTTTTGCTATTTCATTCCATTCTTGACCAAAGCTTCTCTTTAACCAGTTTATTATGGAAAATTGTCACATTAACTTAAAGGAAAGGGTGGGGAGGTATGTAAATTGTCTGCTAAAAAATAAAAATACTAAATATGTTTAAAAAAAATTAGGATCTTCTTCACGTTGAGTCCTTACCACTTCATACCATCCTTACCTGTCTGGTCTCTGAAAGTATTCAAGTGTGAACTGTGGATTAATTTTGGGCATTTTGAGATTAAATCAAAGTGAATCATTATGCATGAGTTCCTCTTGGAAATTTTCAAAAAATGGTTTTTAAGTTATTTGATTAAACTGGCAAATGAGGTTAAATTCATGTAATGCCCTCTAGTTTCTCCTTGAATTTGAGTCAATGTTTATTTAAAGGTAGACAGCTCATCAGGTGAAAAAAATTATGGTAATGCTGACACTTTACGATAGAGTAAATGCTGTTGGTTATTTTACCAAATGCCCTCACAGATGCACATTCCTGTACATGTCTCTGTTTCCCCAATTTATATCCATGTCTATGACTTAGTGGAAACCAGGAATGCTGCTGAGCCATACGATTA